CAGAACACTAGCCTAAAGCCCTCAACCTGGAGCCCACAGCCCAGTGTTCTAGCTGAGAGCCCTAGCCCAGAAATCTAGCCTAAAGTCTCCAGCCCAGAGCCACGAGCTCAAGCCCAGAGCCCTAACTAGACATGGAGATCGCGCCGGGCCTTAATTTTAAGCCCGGCTTTTTTTAATTGGTCCAGCGTAGTTTGATCAAAAAATTCTTATGCTCGGCCTAGCCTTTTCGGATATTTAGCTCAGCTCGGCGCTTTACCATTTTTAGCCCTAGACCTATAAACCGCAGTAAAAACCGAAGTGTCAAACGTTTGTTTAAAACAATTGCTGTCAGGAATGTGGCTAGATAGTTACAACTTGAAAACCAATATTTATTTTTTATATAAGTGTTTTAAAATAAAATGGCATTTGCGTGTGAAAAGTTACAATAACAGAGCACAGGACACACAAATTCAGACAATTGAAATGTTATCACTATTGTTACTGGTATCGTTTTAGCTTTTTCGGTGTAGGAAACAAGCCTTTGAACTTTCAAAAAAAGCGCCGTTTTGTTTTAAAACTTTTTAAAAAAATTAAAAATTATTAGGTGCCGACATAAAAAACCCGCCATTTTTTACAAGAAATTACAGGAAAAGTATGGCGGGTTCTTTATGTCGGCACCTAATAAAAAATTATAAATTGTGATAAGGTAGGGTAGGATAAAGTAGGGCACGTGGGCTTAGTTGTCAAGCACTCGAACTGCACCGTGCAATCAAAAAGAAGACTTTTAATTTAACAAAAAACGATTAAAATGAATTGAAATCTTAATTAAAAATACAAAAAAGTGCATTCCAAAAGTGTAAGAAATCAATTTATTTAAAAAGTTTATTATGTTTATTTGCCAAACCTTTTTTTACCCTTCCGTGTCCATATTGTTTTATTTAGTTTTTGTTTACTCAACGTAAGCATGTCACACTTAATTTAAACACAGTAAAAATAAGTATTGGGCAAAAAAATGGCATTTTAATTTTTTTTTCAAATTTAAAATTAAAAAGAATTTTTTATATGGCCTTGCCTTGCCTTGCCTTGCCTTGGTTAGCTTGAGCTTGCTCTCTCTTATTTTTTACCATACTTTACCCTACCCTACCTTACCCTAAACTACTCCATCCTATCCTACATTCAACTGCCCTACTCTGGCTGCCCTTGCTTTTGCCTCTGCCCTGTTTTGCACTACCCTGCCAAAGTATGTCTAGCACAAAAATAATATCAATGTCTAGGCACTAATGTTATTTTTACACTTAATAATCGCAAGTAAATACTTATTATAATAGCCATTAATTGCCGTGTAAACAAAAATTATGGTTTTGTAGCCAAATTTTTTGAGTTTTTGGTCTAATTTCGCTTTACTTTTTTAAAATTTGTACTTTTTGAAAAAGGTAGTAATTATTGATGGAGAGCTACGTATGAAAATGCTTCAATAATCACAAGAAACGTATTTTAAAAAATTTTTAAATTTAAAAAAAAGATTTTTGTAAATTTAAAACTTTTTGCCTTTTGCACTGTGCAATCAAATTAAATACGACTGCACTGTGCAATCAAATAAATTATGACTGCACCGTGCAATAAATTTAAAAGTGTTATAAAATTTTTAGAATAAAAGTTAAAGTGAAAAAATTAGAAAACAAATAATAGCAACGTGCCTGCTTTCGAAAATTAAAAAGAAACAAAAGATTTTGACAAGGATCAATCGTCTTTTCAGCTGATTATGACATCCATTACATGCCCATTTCTCAAAATATGCCTTTGGTTTGGAAATAAAAGAGTTTTCTCACAATTTGATAAGATAGAGTAAGATAATTTAAGGTAAGGTAGGGCAAATTGAGGATTAGGGTAAGGCAAGATAGGCCAAATTGAGGTATAGAAGAGTATGTTAGGTCAAGGCAGGGTGGGATGGGGGAGCTCAGTATAAATCTTAAAAACCTTGTAGTAGCACTTATCCCCCTGTTTCCTCTCTTCACTTGCCCACCACCAGTGTTTTGCCGGACCGGTCCGGATGAGAATTTTTTCGGTCCGGTCCAGCTCTATTTTTTTTCGCTCAGGTCCGGTCCGGTCCGGACCAAAAAAAGTCAGGTCCGGAAAATTTTTTTTTTATTTTTAAAAAGAGCCAGGAGCGCTAAAACTGCTTTCTTTACGTTTAAAAACTCTTAAAAATATGTTTTATAATATTTAAAACAGTTTTATTAAAATAAAAAAAAAATTTTTTCCGGACCGGTCCGGAACTTTTTTTTCAGTCCGGTCCGGAAAATTTTCGGTCCGGTCCGGCTCTAGGTCCGGATCGGACGGGTCCGGCAAAACACTACCCACCACCCCCCCCTCTTTCCTTCCCCAACCCACAAAATTTATTTGTTTTTTTGAGTTGAAATCAAAAATTAATAGCCATGTCAGTAGACAATTTATGTTCTTTTGTTAGTCCAACTAATCTAGAGACTTGGCCAGAATAATGAACTGTTTTTTCAGTGTTATTATACAACAGGTTTACCTACTTCTAATGAGTTTCGTCTACAAATGGGCAAAAGTGCCTTTTAATAATAATGCAAGTCACGTTGTATAAAACAAAAAATTAAAATTAGGTATTATTTGATTACTTTTAATAAGTTTTGTCATAAAAAAAAGCCAGAAATACCCTTATAAGTTTTCAAAAACTACAAAAAAAAACAAAATTTTATCAAAAAATCGGTAAAATCCAGCGTTAAATGACAAAATATAGAAATATATACCAAAAAATAATAAAGCACTATATAACAGAACACAAATTGTAAAGTTTTAAAACTTTAAAATAACTTTTTATACTACAAAAATTTTCAAAAAGCAACTCGCAGCCTGCAGGGTTCGAACCTGCGCGGGCAAAGCCCATTGGATTTCAAGTCCAACTCCTTAACCACTCGGACAAAGCTGCACGGTCTGTTTTCGCTTCATTTCTTTGTGTGGTTTGAGCGGAAAGGAAATAGAAGGAATAAATACGGAAATCAGTGGTTTTTCTAATAAAAAGTAGTTTTTTAGAAAAAAAATAATAAAAAATTTTAAAAAAGCACATTTTCTGTAAAAATATTTGATTTTGCAACTTTTTTAGTAATTTTTTCCAATATTGTTTTCTACCTTTATACCTACAATAACTTCGTATGCAATAAAATAAAAATATTTAAAACAAAGACCTTTTAAAAATAGCTTTTTAATTTCAAAAAACCCAACAATAAACCCTCAAAATTGTTTTTAAATCTTTTGCAAACAAATGATGCTATGAGAAACGTTGCATCTCGCGGGTATATTAATGTTCTCCTCCGTTCTCTGACATTAATGTCGTCTTTTTTAATAAATAAGTACTTTTTTAAAGCAGATTAGTGCGACAAAAAGCTATTTTTAGCATCACTATGAATAAAATACTACTATATACTTTTGGTTGTCGTACGTTATATTATATATTTATAAAAGTAGATACGATAATGTATTTGCGTGTTGTAGAAATTACATATGTGTTTATTTTGACCCTACTTTAGCTGTGATCTAGAAAATGAAATAGTATATGTTTCTTACATTTTTTAACGTAAAAATGTGTATATTAAACGTTATAATTATATCTTTGTAGTCAAAAGTTAATAAACATTACAGATAATGTAGACCGTCTAAAAATGCAATAATCACATACATAAAATATGCAAAGCAATCGTTATATAAATCAACTAAAACTAATAAAATTTTTTCTACAGTTTATTATTTTTAAATTAAAAATTTAAATCAAAATTCAATTTTATAACTTATAAAATCACAAATTAGTCATAAAAATGTAAAGTAGTATAAAACCAACACTTCTACTATAATCCATCACTTTTACAATGCAGTTGGGTGTTATTACATTACTGTCACTTGTGTGTCTGTCTTATGGCTATCGACCACCTTCTGACATTTTAGAAAACATCAAAAAAGCTTATCCAAAAAGAAGGTTTGAGCCGCTAAAAGCCGACGATTTTGAGACTTACATAGAATAAGACAAAATAAAAAATTTTAAATAATTTAACCGCAACATAGAGAAAACGACCGGTAAAGTTTTGTAACAGAACTTTTGGCGCATTATGTAAAAGACCGCACCGAGTTGGCACATGTAGGCCAAGAGGGCTGACTATGAGGCGCAAACTAGGGTAGGTTAAAGTGGGGCTAAGGTAGAACTAGGGTAAGGCTAAGATAGGGCTAGGGTAGAGATAAGGTCACGCCTTGTTCCGCAAAAAAAATACAGTAGCATCTCTCGTGTGATAAATTGGGTTTTTGCGTTGTACCAAGACAGTATTACTATTTTTACTGTCAAGATCATGAACACATTACTTGTCATCAACGGTTTCTGAAACGATATCCTGTTATTACCGCATAGCTAAACGGCTTTGGCCCTTTTACAAGGTGCGCCAAAAAATCTGTTACACGGTTTTTAATCAAATATTTATTTTAACAACAAATATAACTAAAACAACATCTAACAATAGTAACATATAGCACTAGTTATAACATAGCCAATCGTATAGGTCAAACCTAACTTATTATTTTTGTTTTAGTTAAACGAGGTGAAAGTTTTTGTGAAAAGTCGATTGAAACAAAAGACTATGAAGTGTCATCGGTCACTGACCCATTGGTATTTTTTCCGCAAAAGAAAGCGGATGGTAAGTTCGGCAACGTTCTATATGAGTTGGCCGATTCGAGGGAGTTGAAGGCCTATTCTATTGAAAAGTACGTTTAAATCAATATTTGTTTTGGTTCAAGCTGTAGCTTTTTTATGCTGTAGCTCACGCTTTAGACCTTTCTGTGCTGTAAAATAACCCATACATTACATATGGTTACTGTACTTTCGCCCTGCTTTTACATGCCATGTTGTAGGTTGCAAAGTAGTATTATACTACTAAAAATCGTTTTTTAGCGGCACAAGATGTGCCTTGAAGATACCAGGTTGGGAGGATATAACATACCGATCACATGCATATATCATGAGTAACTACTTAAGTATCAGTCCTGGTAAAGCAGTAAAATGGTCGACTATTTCTGGTGGTGACAAAACAATGAAGGTAGTTGATACTAAAGACATACCTGAAAGCGAGTTGCCACAAAGTTTTAAAGATGTCGAGAAAGAGTGCTGGGTATGTTTCGGTATCTCATAGTACAGAATTTTCAACCTATATATCTTACAGTAAGAAGTATTTTTAAGATTAGTGCTAAATATAGTATGTAAGTTTCCCTAGTACTATATATGTAATATATTTTACAGTACTAACACAATATTGTTTCAGAAATTAGACGTCGACGACAAGTACTGTGTTGACGACTTGGACAGTAAAGATACGATTCTCGTACAACGCAAAAACCCAATTTACCACACGAGAGATGCTACAGTATACGCATTTTGTTGTGGAGCCGGGTATGAATGTGAAGGTGATGGCGGCAGCAGATGCTCTTACTTTATCTATGATCATTGTACTGGGTACGTTGTATCGTGCTAAAAGCTTTTCTACCCTACTTCGCCCTACCCTATCCTATCCTACCCTACCCTACCCTACCCTACCCTACCCTACCCTACCCTACCCTACCCTACCCTACCCTACCCTACCCTACCCTACCCTACCCTACCCTACCCTACCCTACCCTACCCTACCCTACCCTACCCTACCCTACCCTACCCCTACCCTACCCTACCCTACCCTACCCTACCCTACCCTACCCTACCCTACCCCTACCCTACCCTACCCTACCCTACCCTACCCTACCTACCCTACCCTACCCTACTCTACCCTACCCTACCCTACCCTACCCTACCCTACCCTACCCTACCCTACCCTACCCTACCCTACCCTACCTACCCTACCCTACCCTACTCTACCCTACCCTACCCTACCCTTTCTGTATTCCATTCTGCCCTGTCTTCTTTTTTTCTACCCTACCCAATGATGCCATAAGCTACCGTATTTTACCGTACCGTACGCTGCCTTATTCTATTCTACCTTACCTTATCTTACCCTGCCTATGCTATCGTATCTTATCCTACCCTATCATGGCATTAGCTACTGTATCCCATTCTACCCTGCCCTATCGTACTCTATCCTACTTTACCCTACCCTACGGTACTTTACAATTTAAACTACGAAAACAAAAAAAATCTTTTTTAACTCAAGTTGACGGTAAATATTATAGAGTTGACTTTTACATTGATGATCAAATGGAATGGACGTCGGATGAACAAAAGATTCCGGTCTTTTTGATTCCAGCATTAAGCGAAGACGACAATTTTAATAACAACAGACAGAATGTCACAACCGAACATCCTCCAACTACACCACACGGACCACCAAGCGGGAACTGTTCTGGCTGGAACAATTTCTTTTTTTACTTTAAAGGCGTCTTTGGATAAGACGATGGTGCTACATTATTATCACTGATATATACATTATGATGACTGATACAAAAAAATTAAAAAAAATTTTTTTTTTCAAATAAAGATATGTTTAAAATTTACATAAAACCAAATTAGTTTGAAAATATGCCTTTGGGCGATTTTTTTGTCGCCATGTTACTATATTTACCGTAATAAATAATTTTGGTAAAATAATTTTGTTTTAAATTTAAAAATTTTTATAGGTATTTACATATTGCTTTACGGTAACATTGCAGTAACTTTAAAAGTATTACTTACAAGAAAAGTGGTGATCGACCTGCCCCACTCTAATTGACTTCAAACGTTTTATATAAAGATCATGTAAATATAAGATATTCAGCAAACTACCAAATTGTGCTTTCCAGTCATTCTTCGGAAAATCGCAATCAAAAATTAGCTTTTGAATTTCCCGCTAAATTGGCATTGTGTTTCAAGCTTATACCTTTTTTTATCTTTTGATATTTAATCATTTTTCTTTGATATACTAGTAGAAAACCTTTAAATCAACGTATACTTTTAAATTTGTAAGTGTAGCTTGGCTGAAAAGTAGAAAAAGTGCTTGAAACATAATGCCAAGTTCGCTAAATTGGCGGAAAATTAAAATATTTAAAAGTTAAAACTCAAATGCGGGAGCTAGAACTTTTTATGGGTACTATTGGTAGTAGAAATAATTCATATAAAACTTTTGAGCTAGTTCTGATTGGGGCAGTTTGAGTAATTTCCTTGTTAGAGAACTGTGAAATTTTAAAGAAACGTCTTAAAAGTGTTATAGAGTACTCTCTCTATATAAGAAACTTAAAAGCACCGACATTTTGTGTTTACTATGGAGTGTGTTGTCTTACCAGAGTGATTTTTAGTGCACATTAAATTGGCGGGACCAAATTGTATTTACTGTAAGGTATGTTGCTTATACAGATGGTTCACTTTGAAAAAAGACCACTGTAAGTTAATTGAAAAACGTTTTTCTAACTTTATTAAAGTTAAAAACAAAAAAAAACTTTTAAAAAAATATTTTATTGTCTAAAACCACCCCTTAAAATAAAACCAAAAGTTGCTGTAACAGCCGGAGGGCGGCGATGCTGTTACCGTTACTGGCGGACGTGGAGTTGTGACATTATGTTTTGTTTTATTAGTGAATTGATCATCCACTGTGATGGTCGGAATCAGATAAACGGGCCGTTTGTGCTTATCCGACGTCCATTCTACTTGATCGTCAATGTAGAAGTCAACACTGAAATTGACATGGGCGTATATTATAGTTTATAATAAGATACAAAGATTTAGAACGTAAGTTTAGTAAGTTTAAATTTATTTTTGCTAACATGTATTGTTACCTACCCAGTCTCATGATCATATATAAAATAAGAGCATCGGTTGCCACCGTCACCCTCGCATTCATAACCACCTCCACAACAAAACCTGTACACGGTGACGCTTAGCGTGTAATAAATGGGGTTTCGCCGTGGTACAAGAATCGTATCGTCACTGTCCAGGTTATCTACACAGTATTTGTCATCTACATCCATTTTCTACAACATATAATACTGTAAAAGCATTTTACTATGCAGTGCTGCAAGAGCATAATGCTAAACATAATACTGTAATGCTGAAAAGTCATTGTGTGTTTAATGCAAGGCACGTACCCAGCATTCTTTTTCAATTTCTTTTATACTCGGAGGCAGCTCGCTATCAGGAATGTCCGTAATGTCGACTACATTGAGTACCTTGTCGTTGCACGACACCGACCCCCATCTTACCGCCTTGCCTGGACTTAAACTAATGTACTTGCCCATAATGTAAGAATGAGCTCGATTTTTGGTGTCATTCCAGCCAGGTATGTCCCAAGCGCAACGGGTACCACTAAACGATCGTATCACAACTTTTTAAAGTTTAGCTTTCAAGAGTGATCATTCCTTTTTAAACTGCTTTATAGTATTATAGACTTAAAATTGGTAACTAACTTATTGACTTACTTCATAATAGAGTAAGCCTTAAACTGTTTGTGAGCTGTCAACTCAAGCAGCATGTTGCCGTATCTTCCTTCGGCTTTTTTGGAAGGAAAGAATACTAATGGGTCTGTGCTCGTTGCTGGATATCGAGTATCAACCGAATTCTTACAAAAACTTTCAGCACGTTTGACTAAAAGCTAGTTATTGGTACAGTGATGTTCATAATGTATTTACAGTAAGATTGAGGCTAAAGCAAGGCAGGGTAGGAAAGAGCAGGGCAAAACAGATCAAGGCCCGACAAGGCAAGGCAAGACAAGGCAAGGCAAGGCAAAGCAAGGCAAGGCAAGGCAAGGCAAGGCAAGACAAGACAAGACAAGACAAGACAAGACAAGACAAGACAAGACAAGACAAGACAAGACAAGACAAGACAAGACAAGACAAGACAAGGCAAGGCAAGGCAAGGCAAGGCAATGCAACTTATTATAATTTTTTTGTAAATATGATTTTATACAAAAAAACTTACTAGCTCCAATTCTAAAGAAATTATGCCCCTCACACTGCGCAATAGCAATATAGCTATTGAAATCGTTAGCTTTCAGTGGTTGAAAAATTCGGTTTGGATAAGCTTTTTTGATGTTATCTAAAATACTCGACGATGGCCTATATCCATAGATAAAACCAACGCCTAATAAAAACACAACCAAAATAAATGTCATATCGGCAGCAATTAAGAGACGTACGGTGTCTCGTGAAATGAAAATATAATGTAGAATATAATTATATCAAAAGACCTTTTATGTGATTAGAACAAGGCACCATTATTTATACATAATTTACAATTTTAACACAACATTATTTTTTAATTTTAATTGGGTTTTCGACAATCTAAATTAAATTTTGCAATTTTATGTTAATGCTAACTTTCAAAATTTTGAAATTAACTGCAGTTTGTTTTTTGAGGAAAGGTATTTAAAAACTGTCTGTATATCCCAACACGAAAACGTTTGCGCCAAAAAAGCTGCGCTAATTCGTGGCGATCACGGATTCTCTTGAGCTTCGAAGACAGACGTTTTAATGAATGCTTTGGTACGTTTGATAGTTTGATCTTGATTTGATGATTGATACTTTTAGTTTGATATTGTTTGATTATACGTTTGACTGTTTGATTTGAATTATTTTGGTTTGTACGACTTTGTTTGATTAGAAGATAAACTGGTATTATATTGATTGGTTTTGTTTAACTTGGAGAAATCAGAAGTTAATTTATTACTCATTGTTTGATTCTTTGTAAAACTGTTTATTACAGAGCATTGAATTGACTACAAATTATATTGTCATAGATCACTGGTTGAAAAGTCCTTTCTCACCCATACCGAACGTAATTTCCGATTCAAACATCTTCGTTTACTCTATTAGAATTCTATCACTACTATATGTTAGTACGTATGTATAATCCATTTGTAGTTGCCGTAGTACTTTTGTTGAAATTGCTATAAGATGTGTCTCAAAAATGCCAAATTTTATTTTATTCTACTTGTCAGGTAAAATACAAAATAAAAAAGTTCCCTTTTTAAAAAATTAGTGTTTAATAAATGTGGCATTCTGAAATGGACCTCCTTTCCCAAAGCTAAAGTACATCAGAAACTCGCGCAAACCACAACATGGGCCTGAAGGTGGAGCTTGAGTTGGCACTTTTGGAGCTGGTGTGGTCGGTGTTGTATGATTAGGTCTAACATGCGAGAAGAAACGGTCATCATCAACTGGAGCAGGAATCAAATAACTAGGGTCTTTGAATTCATCTGTCGTCCATTTCATCTGATCATCAAGGTAATAATCAACGCTGAAAAGTAAAAATACCGTAACACAGAAAATTAGAGCATGGTGTTATGCTGAAAGCTAGATGCTGAAGAGTGTGAGAAAAGAGAAGATTAAAAATATTTTTCTGAACCAATGATAACGTTTTACCCGGTATTTTGATCATAGACAAAGTAAACGCATCTATCATTTCTTCCTCCGCCACATTCTTCTACATTAGTGTAGTCACAACAAAAACCATAAATCGTGGCATTTTTCGTACTCAGAATCGGGTTAGCTCGTGGTACAGCGATTATTTTATTAGTATCCATATTATTTACACAATAAAGATCATCATTTTGCTAAATTAAAAATATTGGCTTTAGCTTATATATACTGCGTTTATAAATCCTATATAATTTATAAACTTTTTAGTTTTGTTTTAGCCTAAAAAAACAATTTTCAAAACAGCTGCGGTAAAAAAACTAAAGTTGTAAGAAAAAAAGATTTTTTTTTCTTACCCAACATTCTTTCTGCAAGTCTTTAATGTCACTTGATATTTCGTCTGGTGGAATATCAGAAAATTTTATTAATGGTAAATCGCTTCCCCTAAAACTCTGTGATTATAAGTTTAAGCTGAAGGCTTTGAACATTTTAAGTTTTTAAATAAAGAACTTACGCACGAAAATAGCCGTCTTCGTTCCTACGTGATTGTGCATTACAAGACAGCTTATGAATCAAGACAACATTTTCCGGATCTACACTCATATACTTTCCCATAATAAAAGCACGACTACGGTATTCAAATTTCCAATTCGGAAGAGGCCATCCACAGATTTCACCACTAAAATCTTTGGTAAAAAATTATAGAATCTGCCCCCTCCATTATGTGCGACAAGCGGATGATGATTTTTTTTAAATACAGTGGAACTCCTGTATAACGAATCGCTTGGGGTCTTGAAATTTATTCGTTATGGAATTTCGTTATTCAGGAGTTTTAAATGCACTGTTAAAAATAGACGGGAATTTAAAAGTTGTTCGTTATACGGGATTTTCGTTATAGAGGAGTTCGTTTTACACAAGTTCCACTGTACTGTTGATCTGGTAAAGTTAATACAAAGATAACCCTAAAACTAAATACCAAGATAGCTTAGGCACAATAAACTTACTCCTAACGAAAAATGCTTAAACGCGAATTGTCGCTGAGTTCGTAAAGAGGGTCAACGTAGTTATCAGCACCTTTCTTTTCGACCAGAAAAATCAATGGATTAACATGGTTCTAAACGTTTTCTTTTATTATTCTTTTACAAAAAAATAACTTACGGATAGATAAGCCGTACTTGTCGATTTCTCTTTAAAACTTTCGTTCATGTTTGCTAAAAATAAATTTTATTTTACAATATTTGATAGAATAGAGCTACACTACTGAAATCAAGGCCGGGTAAAGAAACGACCTCCTTCTTAAAAAATTTTTTTGCTTTTTACTTTTGATGTATATACAAAAAACTGTATCATTTTAGTTCTTGCGTCAGCAGCAACAAGTTAGTACTAAATTGTTTCCTTTACAATGGCTAAATTAACTTACTTTGCCCAATATGATATTTATTATCGCCTTTGACCGCAGCTACACTTATATAATTAGCAAAGTCTCCATCCTTAAGTCGTACGTACGTTCTTTCAGGGTATTTCTTCTTAACAATCTTTAAAATTTCTTCTGATGAACGTCTCCCATGTACTGCATACAGTAGCGTAACACACACTAGTACCCACAACAGTTTCATTTCTATGATGATGACTGGTCTAGCGTTGGTTTATATATGGACACTAATATGGTAATTTTGAACGTGTTTTATATTTAGAACATCTACGTTAAATTTACAATTTATTTTTTTGCTATTAGGCGTATTATAGTTGATTAACATTTTAAAATAGAAGGTTACAGTAGTTATTACTAATTGGTTATTTAAAACAATCTTGTGGACGTTTTATGTGTTTTATAATATATATTTTATATATTATTTTAAGTAATGTTTTCTATGCAAGCTTTTTTTGATTAATTTACATTACTGTACGATTTTATTTTACGAACTACAGATATAATTCAAATTTTCAAACCAGCAATTAAAAGAAAAGTCTATGAAATATACAAATATAATTTTTACTTTATAAATTATTTCTTTGTAAAACGTGTCTTCGCGAGATTTTTGGACAGTCAATATGTTATCGGAAGTCCAGAAACGAAGAATCACCAAATTGTACATTGATATTAGCTATTGCAACATATTGGCGGAAAGGTTGGGTTATTCTTTTGAGACTGTACTGAAAGTGATCAAGGCAACTCTACGGAAGCAAAGAAAACGACCACCACGTCCCAAGTTAATAGATGAAAGAGTTGGAAGACAAATCATACGATTCATTTCGGCCAAAATTACTGCCGTAGATCTAGTAAGCTCAGGAACGGAACTATCATTCTGAGTTAACCATCTCATAGCTGTTTTCATCGTATTTCTACTCCATCGTTACTTTTTCGTTTCGGTTTTTTGAATAAATTGGTATGATAGAATAGAGTATAATAGTTCACTTCTTTTAAAAAAACTTTTAAATTGTTGGAATTTTCGTCTATAAACCTTTATTTAATAAGCTTAGTATTCTTTACCGTTTTACTTTGATTGATATTAAAGTAAACAAAGAAATTTTTAGTCTACAACAAGATCCAGTTCATTTTGGAGTGGTTACAGTATGATAAGAATTTTGAAACGGCTGTCAGCAGAAGCTAGAATTAAGTAGTCAAGGATTTGTATTTGTCAGTTGTACAGGGTGTCCCAAGATTTTTGCGGAAAAGTAAAAGCTTGTTTCTCGAAAAGTACCAGTCCAAATTGGACGATTCTTTTTTTTAGTACACTTGAAATTGCGGGCGGATTTGGTATTGGTACTTCGTTTTTTGATATTCGGCGGATGGTCGGCGGAGGCCGGCGGAGGCTACTTTTTTTGCTTTGACCAAACCAAAACCTTCATTTTTTGGTTCCTATGTCACCTGCTGATTCGTCAAAACGCTTTCCAATCAAAACATGTCTTTCCCTGCATCGGCGGACGACCGGCGGAGAAAAACGGCGAAGGCCATAACTCCGCTCAAACTCAATATTTTTTCACCGGACAAAAAATGGAAATGTTATTTTAAGCTTTTTAATACATTTAATCAAGTTTACAGTTCAAAAAATTTCATCGGCGGACGATCGGCGGAGAAAATCGGCGAAGGCCGTATCTTGGTCAATTTTTAATAGTTTTTCTTCGGGAAACAAGTAAAAATGTTCTTTTAAGCTTTTTAATCATTTCAATTACGTTTAAAACTCAAAAAAATTTCACCGGCGGACGATCGGCGGAGAAAATCGGCAAAGGCCGTATCTTGGTCAATTTTTAATAGTTTTTCTTCGGAAAAAAAGTTGCTGGTACCCTAAGGTCCTTCTCTACCTAACTGTTACGAATTCAGAAATTAGTGAAGTTTTTAAAAAATAGTTAAGATTACTTTCGATCGACAGAGATCATATATTTTTCAAATAAAACCATAAAAACATAGTTGAAACTATTCTGACTTGGTATTATTTTTATTTTTTTTAAAAACTCTTTGATCAAGAAAAAAATGGTTTGGGGTGCTGATGTTAAGAGTGAATGTGTTGAATGGTATTTTAAGTTAGGGGAAAGTCCTGAAAGCGTTCGTAGAAAGTACATGGCCGTGTATCACCCCCGTAGCCCTCGTACACCCTGTCCATCAGCAGATTCTATTAAACGCTGGGTTATCGAGTTTCGTAGTCGTCGCCACTGCCTCAGAAAAGAAAAAGTGAAAACAAAGTAAGCACAACTAACAAAATAACATTTCTTTAGCTTTGTTGCCACTCCTGAAGTTGTTGCTAGAATTGGGGATGCTATTGCCGACAATCCGCGAATATCTGTAAGAGAATTGAGCCGTTTTGAGGGTATACCTTCGAAGAGTACATGTAGTCGGAAATTGCGCGAAGATGGGTACCACCCATACAAACTTCAAAAAGTGCAAGAAATCTTGCCAAGGCACATAGTACAACGTTTATCGCATTCAAATGTTATGCTTGAGCAGCTGCAAAACAACGAGGCGTTTTTGGAAGAGCTAGTTTTTAGCGATGAATCCACGTTTCATATCCATGGCCGCTTAAATTGTCAAAATTCAAGGTGGTGGGCTAAAGAGAATCCTCACTGGTGTGTATCAGAGCCGCTGCATTCTCCCAAAACGAATGTGTGGGCAGCCATCGGGTGGAACGGGGTTGTGGGGCCTTTTTTCATTGATGAAAACATTAACGGGGCACGTTATTTGGAGCTGTTAGAGCAAGATGTGTTGCCACAGCTTCTACAGTGGCCAAATTCAGGTACGAAAAACAAGCAAAATACTAATTTATATCTTTTTAGCTACTTTGGTGTACATGCATGATGGGGCTCATCCTCATCATAGCTTAGTTGTGCGCGAGTTTTTGAACACCCATCTGCCGGGTCGCTGGATGGGTCGGGATAGTCGCGGCGCTCCTCCTCCGTTCGTTTGGCCGGCAAACTCGCCCGATCTAACCCCAATGGATTTTTTCCTTTGGGGTTACGTGAAGGCAAAAGTATACAGTGTTCAAGTCGCGTCGTTACGCGAACTAAAGCAAAAAATTCGCGATGTGGTTGCGGAGATTTCAGTGGAAATGTGTCGCGCAGCTTTGCGCAACTATCCGAAGCGATTGCGACGGTGTCTTGATGTTGGTGGTCAAAGTGTGGAAAGGAGTTACCCAGCAACCAACGATGAACAATCTCATTAGTTAGCGTTGTTTTTATATAGGTTATTGTTAATAAACTTTTTATAAAAAATATCGGAATAGTTTTAAAAAGTTAAATAAAAAAATAAAAAAAATAATATTTTTTAAAAAAAAAGTTTTAAAAATTTAAAAATTTTTAAATTTGTTTGGTAGAGAAGGACCTTAGGGTACCAACAACTTTTTTCCGAAGAAAAACTATTAAAAATTGACCAAGATACGGCCTTCGCCGATTTTCTCCGCCGATCGTCCGCCGATGAAATTTTTTGAACTGTAAACTTGATTAAATGTATTAAAAAGCTTAAAATAACATTTCCATTTTTTGTCCGGTGAAAAAATATTGAGTTTGAGCGGAGTTATGGCCTTCGCCGTTTTTCTCCGCCGGTCGTCCGCCGATGCAGGGAAAGACATGTTTTGATTGGAAAGCGTTTTGACGAATCAGCAGGTGACATAGGAACCAAAAAATGAAGGTTTTGGATTGGTCAAAGCAAAAAAAAGTAGCCTCCGCCGGCCTCCGCCGACCATCCGCCGAATATCAAAAAACGAAGTACCAATACCAAATCCGCCCGCAATTTCAAGTGTACTAAAAAAAAGAATCGTCCAATTTGGACTGGTACTTTTCGAGAAACAAGCTTTTACTTTTCCGCAAAAATCTTGGGACACCCTGTAAAAACCAATTCATCATCAGTTGTACAAACCAATTCAAAAAAGATATTATAGTAGTGAACACTAAAGAACCTACTGTAGCTCTAAATCAGATTATTTGTTTTTTTTTGTATTATATTACGTTGAATTATGACTACAATAAAATGACAACATAAATTTGTTCCAACCCATAATAATTTACCCGATATACTGTAGTTTCGGGACACGTTTCCGTCGAATCATTATACAATAACATGACAGCATAGAACTGGGTCGCATATTTACTATGATTTCATTTCCTTATTGTGTGCCATTCCTAAT